TAATCATCATGAACATACAGTATATTTATCATAAAATAACAGCATCCTTAAACAAAAAACATTACTAATGTCAGCATCAATTTTTCTCTGCCATAATCCCAACATATGTGACTTTCCACAAAGACAGCAAGCACAGGTAAATGACCACATCCTGTCCCCTCTCCCCCTGACGTCTTCACAAAAGAAAGAACATTTTGAAAATAAATGAACTGTTGCAGCCACAAGTTACAGAAGTCATGCTTTCAATATCACAGGTACACAATCAATACAGTCCCGAGCTGCTGGTTCCCCTCCGCCTAGGTCCCAAGAGCCAAACTTGTGATCAATACTAAAAAATCCTCACAAGTTAGGGTCTCAGGGACTAGGAAAAGTCCGAGATCATTCCGTAGCGTTTCTCCTTCAAAATTGCGAGAGGGTCCGTTTGTTTTCCGATCATGAACATTTCAAAACATTTCAGCAAATACAACATGACGGTAAATGCATTTCAGCATACATCAGATGTGCTAGATTAAAAGAGAGAGGATGACTTCAAAACATTCACAGTACATTGAGCATCGTTTTCCTAATAAGCCTCAGTATCACTCAGGGACCAAGCAATACATTGCAGCCTAATTTGGTATCCTGTTGCTCATTTGGGCCCTAGGACGCAGACTGCTTTAAATATATTTCCACAAGTAGGAAAATAATAAAATAAAAAGAACGGAAAATAGTCTTTTTTGTCTATCTTATTTAAAGGGGTTGAGCTTAAAATCCTTTCCTAAACGCAGAATGGTAAAGCCAGGAGCCAGTGTGTACAAGTTTTAAATGCTGTTGATATAGGATGAGAACAACGAACAATGTGAAAACATTTTTTCTATCACCAGGGGGCTTTCGCTGGCTTTGCATTAAAGAGGTACACCAAAATCCCAGAATATTCATAGGACAGACTTATGTCACAGAAGAAAAACATCTTTTCCACTGAAAGTGATTTCCTTGTTCTGTTCTTCGCAAAATTAAAAAGAAAAAAAAAAAAAAAAAAGAAAAAAAAAAAAAAGTCAAAATGGCCCAGGTAAGGTCTTGTCGCCTGAAGCAATAAAAAAAGGATATAGTAGAATCCGATCTATAAAATCTTCATCTTTCCAGGATATTTCTGCTGTAAAAGAGAATACAGTAAAATAAAAAGAGTTAGTCACAGGACAGAGGCATACGAACAACGCTTTCAATTAACAGTTAAAACAAGGAACAGCACACAGAAATGAACCTGCAATGAAAAATGCTGGTGTTGCACCTAGGATTTTTTTCGAACAGTCGAATCCATACAAAGGGTTTTTTTTTTTTGGGGGGGTCGCTTAAAATGCTGCAGCTATTAACGTTTCCTCAAATGGCAACAGAAGCCGTCTCAAATAAGTAGCCTTTATCCAGTTATCAAGCCATTTCGTCTCTTATCTTAAAATGATTTTACATGCAATATTTGAACACAGGCTATGGACGAACAATTAGCATGAAAAATCTGTGCCCTCCGCAGATTCAGCATTAACATAATTACATCCCCCCCACTCCCCCCATGGCAGAGACCCATCCTCCTGTGAGAATACATCTGATGCTCCAAAGATTGAAATCAGTCAGGTTTTTGAGGCTGGGAGACATACCTGAGCTTCTCACTCCCAGGCTTGGCTTTTACCTTCCCTCCACGCACGCAGACACGCAGACAGACAGACACACACTTGCAGACACGCACAGACACACACACACAGAAAAAAAAAAAAAAGCAAGGCGAAGCTGTGGATGCTGACTCAGAACAGTTGTGTTTGGAGGGGGTGCAATCGGCTGGTGTTTTCTCTGCACTCATCATTAACATTAACTCAGTCTCTCGTATCCACCCTTTCCTCGACCTGCAGAAATGCAGCATTTGCATGATGCTGGCATCTCAGCCCTTCCAGGTCAGACGTCTCGGGGTGGAACACACACACAATACAAGATCTAAGCCTCTCCTAAGATTGCCTTCTGATCTTCCAGCGTTCTCTTCTTAGGGTGCTACCTTCCCACTTCCACTCTTCCGCTTATTTGACATCTTTTCGGGATTTATAAAAAAAAAATGCCCAGCGTTCAGTAATATGGCTTGCCAAATGGTCCTTCCTGCACCTTCTTTTTTCCCAAAAAAAAGCCTGTTAGTCCCCACCCTTCTTTTACCCCCCCCAAAATCAATAAGTAAGATCTCCCAAAGCAGTGGTGGAAATAGGCTGTGACATACAGACTTTCATCCTCAGTTCTCAGGCTGAAGAATAGCAAGTGATCCAGCCACGCACGTGACGTGGAGAGACATAATGCCAGCAATTCTTTTACAGTCTTAAGAGTTTATTCTACGCCTTTGCAGGTCTTCACCCTCCTCACTGAGCAAATGCTTGTGGAAACAATGCTTGTCTATAGTCCGGCTGCCAAACAATGCAATGATCAAGCATTTTTATCACTGCACCGTCAAGAAATCAAAACTTGCTGCTTTCAATAACACTACAGCTTTGGGCAATGGAGCGGCTATTTTCTTCTTTCAGATCTACCTCACTGAGGCTTGTTTTTCTTTTTTTTTCGGCAGTTTCCAGCGCCTAAAACAGCGGCGTCTGATCAATATAAGGGAGGACAATAGTTTAAAACCTGCCAGGGTGACAGCAAAGTAAATGGATCACATTGATGCTAGGCACCAGGATTTTTCATTAGCATTGATATAAATAAAACATTAGTGCATGTAGATGCTTGAAAGCTGTAGCATTGCTTTGCTCCAGCTGATATCCTGCTACATCTCTGCACATGAATCTTCTTTGTTCTGGGAATCCATGACACACCTAGATCCCTACAGAGCTGGAGTTGAAAGCTATTCCTCTATACACGGCTCCTCTGTTCACAAAGAAGCGACGGCTACACCAGCACCAACTAGAACCCAGTGCCATCTCTTGGTAAACAAAAGTCAAGTTTAAAATCCCAGCATGCACTGCAACATTGCAGTACTTCCGTAAGTAACCTACTGGTGCAATAATAATATTCATAATATTAATAAATGGCAACAATACTTTATCTATTTAGAAAAAAAGTTTCCTTTGTGACAAATAAAAAAAGTTACAACAATTGTAGAATGGCTAAAATAAAAAAAGTCTGTAAAATTGTAAAAAATAAAAAATCACCAGCATACAGACATATACATACACCGCACAGACAAGCATGCATGCAGCAAATTATTCGTCGTCAATACGGTGAGACGGACGTCAGGCTCAGTTTAATGATATACGTACAACAGACAGCCTTCACTTCTTAATGTCCTTGTGCTGAAACTCACCCTTGCTCCAGTATCCCTTCCTTTGTGCCTCTTTTGCCCCTGTCTACTTTTACCCACAATGCCCTGGTTAAATAAATGTCATGACCTCGCTACTGCTATCAGACGTGAATTAAAAAAAAAAAAAAGTCAGACACTTTAAAAAATTGAACATGCGCTCTCAACTAAACTGCCTCCTGGTACAGGTTTGTGGACGGCCTCTTAGAGGAGCTGTCTCCTGTTCCACCAATCAGGGAATGCCAATGCAAATGTTAGACATGTTGTACGCCAGCCCAATGTCTGGCATTGTACAGAGTGCAAGGCAATGGTTAAACAATGTATATATAACCTAAATGTTTTTTTTTTAGAGCCAACAAAACCTTTCACAGCAACAAAGAACCTCCTGGGTGATAGATGTCCAAATCCATAATGAGGAACAAACAAATGGAGAAAAGTATTCTATATATTTAAACAAAGCGTTGTCACATGAACATCAGAGATATTAAAAAGAAGCCTCTTTTAGGGCCAGGGGACTTGGCGGACCTGACTCAATCAATAATTGTCTGCTGAGAGATGCTGTAATCTATCAAGTCAATTACCTTTGCTAGCATACATCTGATCTGATTGTCTTCTAGTAACATTAACCCTTGAATGATTTTCTTTTTATTCTCACAGCAAGGAAGATAGGATAGCAAATATGCTATAGGCTGTGGCTGTGATATAGAATTAATTTAAACTGCTGATAAGATACAGTATTGCTGTGGTATACAGATACGGTACAGAGTCACTATACAGTAGAGAAGGGAGACACTGGCATTATAAAAAATGTGATAGCCCCAGTGTAAGAAATGGGATTTGTATTAATGTATTACCTGTAACTATATAATACAGAAAGCAGAAATACATTGCAAAGTGATAAAGCGGCATTAACAGGTCAACATTGCTTTGTTAAAGAGAAAGTCAAATATTATCAGTGTTTTATACATATGTCAAACAGCTCAGTTTAATGTAAATATTCCTAATATTAATGTTTAAAAAAAATCTTCCTATGTATAGTATAATTAGTAATTATATTTGTATAAATAGGAGCTGTGTTTGCTCATTACATATGCAGACATTGTTTCCTGCTTATTTCCACAATACAAGTCTATCAGTCAGCCAACATACACTATATTGCCAAAAGTATTGGGACGCCTGCCTTTACACGCACATGAACTTTAATGGCATCCTAGTTTTAGTCCGTAGGGATCAATATTGAGTTGGCCCACCCTTTGCAGCTATAACAGCTTCAACTCTTCTTGGGAAGGCTGCCCACAAGGTTTTGGAGTGTGTCTATGGGAATGTTTGACCGTTCTTCCAGAAGCGCATTTGTGAGGTCAGGAACTGATGTCGGATGAGAACGCCTGGCTTGCAGTCTCCACTTTAATTCATCCTAAAGGTGTGCAGAGGTCAGGACTCTGTGCAGGCCAGTCAAGTTCCTCTACCCCAAACTCGCTCATCCATGTCTTTATGGACCTTGCTTTGTGCACTGGAGTGCAGTCATGTTGGAACAAGAAGGGGCCATCCTCAAACTGTTCCCACAAAGTTCCCACAAAGTTGGGAGCATGAAATTGTCCAAAATGTTTTGGTATGCTGACGCCCTAAGAGTTCTTTTCACTGGAGCTAAGGGGCCAAGCCCAAGCCCTGAAAAAGAATTCCACACCATATTCCCCCCTCCACCAAACTTTACAGTAGGCACAATGCAGTCAGGCAAGTACCTTTCTCCTGGCAACCGCCAAACCCAGACACGTCCATCGGATTACCAGACAGAGAAGTGTGATTCGTCACTCCACAGAACACGTCTCCACTGCTCTAGAGTCAAGTGGCGATGTGCTTTACACCACTGCATCCGACGCTTTGCATTGCACTTGGTGATGCAAGGCTTGGATGCAGCTGCTCGGCCATGGAAGCCCATTCCATGAAGCTCTCTACGCACTGTTGTGCTAATCTGAAGGCCACACAAAGTTTGGAGGTCTTTAGGTATTGACTCTGTAGACAGTTGGCGACTTCTGCGCAGTGTGCTCTTCAGCATGCGTTGACCCTGCTCTGTCATTTTACATGGCCTACCACTTCATGGCTGAGTTGCTGTTGTTCCCAGTTGCTTCCACTTTGTTATAATCCCACTAACAGTTGACCGTGGAATATTTAGTAACAAGGAAATTTCACGGGTGGACATATTGCACAGGTGGCAACTAATCATTGTACAACACTTGAATTCACTGAGCTCTGAGAGCGACCTATTCTTTCACAAATCTTTGTAGAAGCAGTCTGCATGCCTAGATGTTTAATTTTATACACCTGTGGCCATGAGGTGATTGGAACACCTGAATCCAATGATTTGGAGGGGTGTCCCACTACTTTTGGCAATATAGTGTATTTTTTGGTTGACAAAAAGAAACAAGTTCATCAAGTCATTTAACAGAAAAATAAATAAATAAATACATTAAAAACCTCTAGATAAAGAATCTTAGACCCATAGCGGACCCAGAGGAAAGCAAATAAACCTCTAAGCATATTCCTTTCTATATATATTAACAAAAAGAAAAAAAAGCATAGTCCAATTTGCTCCAACATGAGAAATAATATCAATTGTGATTCCATAAGAAAATTCCCTGGATCAACGATCTCTGGTGTTATTACTTAAAATGCAACTAAAACAATGCACCCCTGAGAGCCCAATGTCTAATCTCAACAGTCACTGAGGGAGATTTACTATAACTGGAGCACTCAGAATCTGGTGCAGCTGTATATGGTAGCCAATTAGCTTCTAACTTAAGCTTGTTCAATTAAGCTTTGAAAATAAAACCTGGAAGGTGATTGGTTTCTATGCAGAGTTGCACCAGATTTAGCAAATTCCAGTTTTAGTAAATAACCCCTATTAAGCATTTAGGCAGAGTAAAGCTAGCCATACATGGATTGAAATTTGGCTGGTTCAATAGGGACCGGCTGAATTTTGATCCCTCTGTGGCCACATTGGTTGAACCGAATTCATACTATTGATCGTCTTCTGCTAAACCAACCTGTCTGTACAGTATATTTTCACTTCAATAGGTAATAGGCTGCATCTGTGTATTCTGGCAGTGGGGGAGTCTCCTCACTATCAGAGTACAGTGACAAAAACGGGGAGGATTCCTGCATCTACATCAAACAAGTGGACAGGGGAATTGGATCATTTTTGTTTCATTCAACTGACTAGTTGAATGAAAAAAACTGACCCATGTATTGCTAGCTTGAGAGTAGTAGCTAATCTACTCTGTCTCTGCCTTTAAAAAAGAGGCCAAAACCTATAAAACAGCCCAGAGCCATGTGTGGTTTTCATCCTGAAGTACCCACAGTCCCACAGGGACTGACATCAACACAATGAGGAGTTGGCGGCCATCTTGTTATGATAATACCATTCCATATGTCAGGTGTACCAAGCTGGAAATGTGGGTGGGGGAAAAAATAGTTGAAGCTTTAAATAAGTTCAGAACTGGAACCCAGGGATGGGAATCCCACAAGAAGAGTTGAGTTCTAATTATTCTTACAGCTGCAGTTATCACATAATAAATATGACATCTCAGATACGGCTTATGCACTAAGCTACACTTGCGTGCATTAATGAGCTGCAGAACAACACTTTCAAAGCCAAGTCTCATAATACAACCTTCATATAGTGTCAATATAACATACAAGTTTACAAGTTTGAGAATGGACTGGGTGAGACAGTTATTACACAAATTTTTCTGTAAGTGACTAATCTGAATGCAATCCAAAAGTCACTATATTGCGCCAGGTGCAAAAAATTAATTAATGTATTATATTGCTGCCATTTTCTCCCAACACAAGATATAAACCATATAGTATCACCTCTACTCAAGTGACCACAAGCGGCACATAACCTATACCATATATATCAATAAACTCTAATTAACATTCATATGTGTCATTTTCTGTCTTCATCAATACCCCTGTAACACAAACATAATGTGTAATTTAGGTAAATATAAAGTGACTGTAAACATAAAAATGTTCCATATATTCCAAAAGAAAATGGAATACGAAAATAGTCCCGTGACAGAAGAAAAGCTGAAAGTCCAGTGTTAAAAAATTCCAAAATTAGAGTCCGGTGTTAGAATAAACCTCAGTGATAGAAAATATATAAATGTGTTGAAAAGATCCATGCTGTGCCCACCATGCAACTCCACTCAGGTGTGCACTCACCAGAACATAGCCTTTAATAGCATAATCACAAGGATGTCCACTGTTGGGATCAAGAGGTTTCTCCAAGAATCACCATTATCATGAATGGTTGCCAGGATCATAATAAAATATTCCTGTGAGGCGGGAGATCCTGTCAGCGGCAGCAGCGGCGACAGTCAGCAGAGGGAGAGTGAGAGAACCCAGCACAAGGAATTTTTTAACACTGGACTTTCAGTTTTTCGTCTATCACGGGACCATTTGTGTATTCTATTTTCTTTTGGAATATATGGAACATCACTGTTTTATGTTTACAGTCACTTTATATTTACCTAAATTACACATTATGTTTGTGTTACAGGCAGTGGTGTATTTAAGTTTCGTGCTGCCCTAGGCAACACAACCCCCATGGAGAGACCCTGACACCAGCCAACACCCCCCTTCCCCACAAAGAGAGCCTGACATTGACCAACACCCCAGTCCCCCCACCCACCCCCACCTGAGAGAGCCTTCCACTACCACTGCCCCCCATACACTGGCAAACCCCCCACCCTGGCAAGAGATAAGACACCCACCTTCACAGCTCCCTGGGAACAAGAGTCATGCTCTGCATACACCATCAAGCAGCCTGCAGCCTCTCCCAGATCCCACCTGGTCCCCGTGCTGTGTGTGTCCCTTCTTCCTTTCCTTCTTTTAGGGGATGGCACTGCCCCCCTGAAAAATGCTGCTGCCCCCCTGGAAATCGCCGCTGCTCCCTGAAAAGTGCTGCCCTAGGCAACTGCCTTGTTTGCCTTGTGGTAAATACACCCCTGGTTACAGGGGTATTGATGAAGAGAGAAAATGACACATATGAATGTTAGAGTTTATTGATATATATAGTATAAGTTATGCACCGCTTGTGGTCACTTGAGTAGAGGTGATACTATATGAGTTATTATACAATGTTGTCATGTAATGGAAGTAATGCATGTCCCCAAGAGAAACAAGGTTGACACAATATTACAAAAATGTTGAGATGAATGAGATACAGAAATGTTACAGTGTTACTATGACATGCAGAGGTGATACAGTGCTACTACGAGATAAATGTTACTATAAGATGCAGAGATGAGGTTTTATTGTCAAAGCTTAATTGATCAAGAATAAGTTGGACACTGATTGGCTACCATGCACAGCTGTACCAGATTCTGAGTGTTCCAGTTTTAGTGAATTAACCCCATAGTGTTACTTTGAGATACTGTTGCAGTGTGACTATAAATTACAGAGCTGCTACAGTGAGGCTGATTTACTAAAGGCAAATAGACTATGCAAGTGATGAGTTACATCATCCAATCATGTGCAAGCATAGATGCTGTTTTTTTTATTTTCCTTGCATGTGATTGGGTGGTCTTTGTAAAGTAAAGCTTTACCTCATTTACTAAGTTCTGGAGCAACTGCACTTGCAAAAGTGCATAGTCTATTTGCCTTAATAAATCAACACCAGTGTTAGTATGAAATACAGAAATGTTACTTTATGATATGGAGGTAATATAGTGTTAGCATAAGATCAGTGTTACTAAGGGATACAGGAAGGCAACAGTTTTACTATGAGATACAGAAATGTTCCAGCATTACTATAGGATAGAGACATTTTACAGTGTTACTATTAGAGATGAGCGAATTATTCAAAAATTCGGTTCGGCTGATTCGCCGAATTCGCCGATTAAATTCGCTTCGTGCCGAATATATTCGCTGCGAATTTAACTTATAAAAAGGTGTTTCTAGGCTTCAGAGAGCCTTTATATTAGTGCAGAACACTGTACCTTTAATTTAAATGCCCTTGGAGTCTGCTGGGGAAGAGAAATAATACTGTCAGTCAGTATGACATGCAGATGAGTGCCGTCGATCTTAGAATCACACCGCACACTTCACTCATTTGGAGCAGTCACGGGGCCAAAACCAGAGTGTGGAGCCACAGTGTGGCGATGGAGACAGCAGCAATGGGAGGCCGTACAGGGACCCATGACACACTCTGGACCTGGCAGCAGCATGAGGAAGCGGTACAGGGGCCCATGACAGATTACGGGCCTGGCAGCAGCATGAGGAGTCAGTACAGGGGCCCATGGCAGATTACGGGCCTGGCAGCAGCATGAGGAGGCGGTACAGGGGCCCATGGCAGAGTGGCAGAGCGTAAGCAGCTAAAATTGAAGGCCATACAGAGGCCTATGTTAAAAAGTCCCCCCAGCAGCAGCGTGGGGAGATGACTATCAAGAGTCCAATGGCAGAGTGGCGGAGCAGAAGCAGCTTCAATTGAAGGCCATACACAGGCCTAGGTTTAAAAAGCGGAAGCCGTCAGCAGCGTGAGCAGACGACAGAGACACCTGGCGCAGGGTGGCGGTGGATGCAGCAGTATTCGGAAGCCAAACACAGGCCTCGGTTAAAAAGCGGAAGCCGTCAGCAGCGTGAGCAGACGACAGAGGCACATGGCGCAGGGTGGCGGTGGAGGCAGCAGCAATGGAAGGCCATACAGCACCCTATCACAAAATGGAACCCACCAACAGTGTAAGGAGACCTGAAAGTGGCACATGGCGCAGGGTGGCGGTGGAGGCAGCAGTATTCGGAAGACATACACAGGACTAGTTTAAAAAGCGGAAGCCGTCAGCAGCGTGAGCAGACGACAGAGGCACATGGCGCAGGGTGGCGGTGGAGGCAGCAGTATTCGGAAGCCATACACAGGCCTAGGTTAAAAAGCGGAAGCCGTCAGCAGCGTGAGCAGACGACAGAGACACATGGCGCAGGGTGCGGTGGATGCAGCAGTATTCGGAAGCCAAACACAGGCCTCGGTTAAAAGCGGAAGCCGTCAGCAGCGTGAGCAGACGACAGAGGCACATGGCACAGGGTGGCGGTGGAGGCAGCAGCAATGGAAGGCCATACAGCACCCTATCACAAAATGGAACCCACCAACAGTGTAAGAGGAGACCTGAAAGTGGCACATGGCGCAGGTGTGGCGGTGGAGGCAGCAGTATTCGGAAGACATACACAGGACTAGTTAAAAAGCGGAAGCCGTCAGCAGCGTGAGCAGACAACAGAGGCACATGGCGCAGGGTGGCGGTGGAGGCAGCAGTATTCGG